TTTGAAACTAATAAAACATCCCATTAAAGGTCCAAAATGATGCTGGTCAGGATGCTCAAGCTGAAGTTTTTCATTCTTTGTCAACCAGACCTTATCTATGCACTGGTTATGACATCTACCTTGTTTGGGAGCCTTGTACAATGTAAGTTTGTTAAATCAAACAATCTTTTGTTCCTTTGTGTTCTTTATGTGTGTGGAACTTTCTAACTGCTACAAGTACTTGAGAATCTAATTTTAGGGACTTCTGTAGGGGAAGGTAGGTTACTTTTTGTACACACCTAATTCTCCTTGAATGCTGTTCGAGGGTTTGAGGTATCTTGCAAATAGTATAGGATCTCCTCTACTCACTGGTTTCATTACAATTCCTTCTATGGATTTTTATTATATTGACCGGAAAACTTCGGCCATTATGTTGTGCTTCATTGAATTTCTGTTCAGTTCATAGTTATAGTTAACATAGTAGTCCTATTTATACAAACATAATGTGCTGTGCTTGATCTACCTCCACTCCCATCTTAAATTCTTTGGTAGTGAAAATTCAATACTCACTCTGAAAGATGGGGATTGAGTCCTCATTTTCAAAGAATTTGAAGTGGGATTCTATTAATATGAAGAAAACAAATTATGTTTTAATTATACTTAATAAGATTAATATGTGTTAAGAATGGTAAACATGTATTTTATTAAATATCACAGCTCTATATATACAAATTTTCAAGAATAGAAAAAAAAAAAAAAAACAATTAATTTTGGATTTTATTGTTATGCCTTTTAACTTAATTTACATACAATACATTCTCTTTAAAGATATAGAAACTAGAATTAGGAATTGAATCAGAATTAAACCAAAAACAACCTTACTTTCATACAAAATGTCTATTAGGTATGGTAATTGGTCTGCCAGAATTTTTTTTGAGAAACATTATTTATTTCCTAGGAACTTGCTTTTTTCAAACATTGTACTGTTCAATTATTTGATATCCCTAACCTTTCCTTTTTTCTGTGTACAAGGTGTGCAATGGCACTTCTTCATCAAAGAATTAGGCGAATATTTTATGCTTTCCCAAACCCCAATGCTGGTGCATTAGGCAGCGTTCACAGATTACATGGGGAGAAAAGCTTAAATCATCATTATGCTGTGTTCAGGGTTGTGTTGCCTGACAAAGTCCTTAACACAACTCGACTAGCAAGTAGTACTGACAATGACGAAAATCCTGATGATAATAGAACAGCAATGAGCAGGACGTGATCTTCTTGAACATCAGACTAAAACACCTCCTGTGCTTTGGGGTTAATGGGTAATCAAGAAAGCTCTTGCCTGAGCTTTGACCTTTATTTTTGCTTTATTGTTAATGGCTTGAAAATATTCGCCGATAGATGTTTAAGGAGGCTGAGTTTTGATGGTGGTTATATCGGCCAATAGTTGCTATTCTTGTATATTTATTAGGAAAAAGAGACTTGAACTCCACTTCTGTGTAAGTTGAGAGGTACCTTTACCCTTGAGTTAAAGTCGTGGGTAAATTGGGTTGAAAAAGTTAAGAATTATGGGTGCATCATTCCTGTACTGGATGTTTTCAGTATGTGGGAGGTCTGTAAGATGTACTCTTCATAACAATTTGTAATAATTAAATTGAATGTAGCATGAT